GAACAACCATACCTGTGACCTGGACCAGGAGAGAGCATGCTGTGTTTTTGTTTTAGCCCATTATTTCTGTAATGTGTGTTTGTGTGCTGCAGGTTTTTAGAGAGAGGACTTGTCAGGCTCTAAAGCAGGGTTAAGGGTCTGCGTACATCCATCATCTATTACACTATTAAGTGGAATTGGTTTGGTGTGATTCAGAGGGGAATTGGGCTGTGTTCTGATTCACTGGTCAGCAGAAAAGCGACGGAGGAAGTGGAAGGTAGCTTGACCTCTGGTCCTTTTACTGAAGCAGGTCATTGGTCTTTAGGGGATGTAACAAGACAGCACAAAGACATAGTTAATGACACACATATATAAGTGGAGTCAACACACAGCCTTGTCCACTTGTCAGTAGCTTACTGGAGGGAGACTTTTCTCTGTGCTGCTGTTTGGTCATTTTGACACATAGATGTGTTCCCTAAGATGGTGTTCACTTTCATCTTCCAGCCTGGAAGAAAATTCCTCGACATCAGCGATATTGTTTATTTTCAAACAAGTTGGACAGTGCTTTCATTTAGTTAGGCCTGGTTCGAACAACAGGATAATAATACTGATTTTTGACCATCCCCGCCCCTTCTGACCATCATAAGAATGCATTTGTTTACTGTAACGACTCTAAAGATAATCTTACCTTTTGTGGTGTGTTAAGAGCGCTCTGACCTGTTCAGAAGGACATCAGGACAGCTCTGTTTGTGGGCTTTCAAACATATTTGATTGTCTTGATCAGACTTTTTGGAATGTGATGTCTAGCCAATCAGAAAGCAAGAAGATGGAAGCACAATCCATCCTCTGCCATGTTTGTTTACTTTGAAGTCATGTTTGATCTTGCAAGACGTCCCATCTGAGCGGGGAGTGCCCCTAAGTGTGCAGTGGTTAGTTTTAGCTGAGTTGCTGCACACCACACACCATGTGCAGCACTTGTGTGTCCAGTACTGTGTGTGGTCAGTCACGTTTGGAAAACCAGCAGACATTTTTTGAATCCTGTCGTGTGAACTGGGTTAAGATGGCTCAAACAGCTTTAACACTTTATTTACACCTATTCGTTTATTATAATTTATGTGTAAGTATGTGTAGCTTTTGCCACTCAGGCATCCTGATTTGGGACGATGGTGTCACAGGGTTTAAGTGCTCGCCCCGTAACCGGAAGGTTGCAGGTTCAAGCCCTGCTCAGTCTGTCACTACCGTTGTGTCCTTGGGCAAGGCACTTAACCCCACCTTGCCTGCTGGTGGTGGTCGGAGGGACCGATGTCGCCTGTGTACGACAGACTCGTCCCCGTCAGTGCACCCCAGGTCAGCTGTGGCTACATCGTAGCTCATCACCACCAGGGTGTGAATGGGTTAATGACTGATTGTGTTGTAAAGCACTTTGGGGGGTCCTAGGACCCTGGAAGGTGATATATTAAATACAGGCCATTTACAATTTTAGAAACCAGTTTCTCCTCCGCTAACTTTATTTCTAGAAAATTCATCCGTCTTTTCATTTTTATCCACTTATCTGGAGTAGGGTCACAGGGGCAGTAGCCTAAGCAGAGAGACCCAGACCCCCCCCCCCCCCCCCCCCCCCCCCCCCCGTGAGAGACACGGTCCCACTAGCGTGACCTGGGTCTTCTTTTAGGGTCTTCACCAAGCCCCTCAAGCCCCTCCTGGATGACCGAGCTTCTCCACCTATCTCTAAGGGGAGCCCAACCATCCTGCGGAGAAAACTCATTTCAGCTGCTTGTATTCGTGAGGTCATTCTTTTGGTCGCTACCCGAAACTCGTGACCATAGGTGAGGGTTGGAACGTAGATTGACCGAGAGCTCGATTTGAAAAAAAAAATGCATAATTTAATTGCTGCTTTTTTTGCATTTACCATTTTCAACAGCGCTGCCACTTTTTACAGATAAGTCTGCCCTGTATGGGCAGCGAGAACAAGACTCCAGAGTTGATTAGTTTCAAACCTCTTCATCAGCTTTAGCACCCTCCTGTATTTCTGTCTCGTTCCACATCACAGTCCCACTTCTCTTCCCTTCTCATGCCAGCTGCATCTCAGATGCTTCGTTCGTTTTCTCCCTTCACGTTTTTTTTTCCCTTTTTTATCTCCTTGTCTTTTGTGCTGCTTCTTTTTCTTCCACATCTTCACAGTGCAGTGTCCCAGGGCATCTCCCTTTGGCAGCCTGCTCTTCGTTCCCATTGTCTCACGTTATCCACACACTCTTAAACATCCTCATGTGTTTGCCCCCATCTCTTCACTCGCTGGAGAAAATCTTCTCTTGTTCTCAGGCAGACTGGGTGGTCTCTTGGTGGTCAGAGAAAAATGTAAAAAGGAAGTGGAAAAAGATTGAAGAAGTCCACATGCTCCTTCTGGAGAAAAATAATCACTGATGTCCAAAATGTGGTGTTGTGTGAGTGCTATCTTCCTGTGTTTGTATGTGTTTCTATATACCTCTTGTATATCCTGTATGGAGGTGGTGAGGAGTCTGATGGATTATCTGGCACCCTTTTCTGGAAGCTGTCCCATGTGCAGGATGCATATTTATAGCTCTGTGTGCACATGTGTTTGGCTGGAGATGTTTTTTATCTGCTTCATATTTCCTTGTTTGTCTGTGGGCATTTTGGGGCATTGAGATAGGGGAGGGAGTCCGGTTGATGGCAGATGAGGTTTTCACAGAGATACAGGGAAGGGATATGAGAGGTAGTGGAGGGGGGAAAAGAACGGGGTTTGGATTTGGAGAGAAGGAAATGCAGAGGAATGTGTGAATAGTCCAAGGCAGACATGTCAGAGAACAAATTGAAAATGCCAATTTCACTTTAGTCCTCACCCGCTCAGGCGCTTTTGGCCCAGCCCTGGCCTCTTATTCCGTGTGTAAATGAATGGTGTCCATGGAATAACACACAATCACCTCCCTCTGTCCATCTCCCCCTTCACCTTGTGCTGCTGTATGATCCGCTCTCTGCTCTTTAACCCTACTGCTGTTATCCTGCTTCATCACATAGTTCAAACACGCAAAGTTCCTTCTAACTCACTGGTGACCCCTCCCGACTACCAAGTTCTTTAATTTTAGGTAAAATATTATTTTCATCTTCATGATTTTCAGCACCGTGTCTTTTTGGGTGTGTTTTAGGCCAGATTCCAGGTGGCTTTCTTCTTGTGTAGAAGGCTCCTCTTTTATTCCAAGACTCCTGAATAAATCAGAGCTCTAAAAAGTGCCGGAAAACATACTTTGAAAGAATGTACCCTTTAAAATCATCTCTAAAAGGAAACTCTAATTTCCTCTGAGATACATGGAGACATCTTTCTTTTCTTTCTTTCCACCTTCGAGGCTCGCTAAATGCAAATCATCCAATCACAGAAGCGAAGAAAGAATTAATCAGCCATTCACAATTTGTGACATTGCTGCCGTCCTCTCATTTTCTTATCTTGTCTACGCACATTTCTTGGTCTTTTCCCCCTCAAATGCTTTTAAAATCACTATTATTGCCGACGTGGAGATAAATCTCACAGTATCACACTGAAGTGGGAGCGATATCACATGGTGGAGAAGTTGTAGCTTGATTCAATCTGCGAGGGAACAGTAGCCTCAGGACGGGGGGCTTTCACATTAGATTTTATCACCACTCCACCACAAGAGAAGAGACCTGCTATCTCTTTCCCTGAAGCCAGTGCAGATAGTGACCATAGGAATGGCGGGGAGAGTTAGTGGGCACCTTTTGACTGACGGGGGCGTTAGGTCGTATCCATCACATCCGAGAGCAGGAAACCTCTCACACACACGAATCTGGTAATGAGTATGTTTTCTGTGCAACCCAGTGGGAGGAGGGATAACGCTTAAAGCTGTGTTTTATTTTGTGGTGATAATTGTGGTTATGTATGTGATGCGGGGTCTTACAGGAGCTCTTCTCTCCATCATCCACTCAGTTAACACAACGCCATCAGATTACCGCTTCTGTAGCTTGTTGTCTCATTTAAAGCAAATCCATAAAACTGATTATGCAAACGAGGAGTCAATTACATTTCAACTCTTATTAGTTCAGGATGCAAAAATGAAATTAGATGAGAATATTATTGTTGGGAGATATATTATGCTTTTCATTCATCACTGGGATGGAATGAGTTATGCAGTGATTGGGATCCCAATTTCCTAATCAACTCCACGCTCTGCCAGACTGCAGTGGATGTGCTGTGTGAGAGAATCACAATGTAGCATGTCGCTCATCCTTCATTTTTATGGCTTTTCACCATGTGAGCAGCACAGCAGATTACGTTACTACCAGCTGAACTTAGCTTGTTCTTTTTATTATCTGTGCCTGTTTCTCCTCTTTTAACAATTCATTCATTTTGTTTGAAGTTTTGTGTCTTTTAAAGGTGTGGAATGCTGAAAAGCCATTTTTCAATCATTATTTCTGATTATAATCGGTCACTGTGACTTTTTAATGCAGGATGAAGATGGAAATAGTCTCCTACACCTATCTGCTGCATTAGCTTCTGATAGAAAATAGACGTTAACTCTAAGATTTGAAAACCCTGACAGATCTATATCAAGTAGTTGTTTGGATTCACCCATACTAGCACACCACTGGGAAGGTTGTTGAGAATTTGTTGTCTAGCAGAAGCTAACTGTTAGCATTAGCAACTCTACCACACAGCAGGCTTGTGTTATTTGTGGAGATAAACCTTCATGTCACAGAGCAAACGGAGTCAGTGGTAGAATTGCTTTGCTGTTATCCAGTCTGAGGCAGGATGTCCAAATATCAGGAAATAAGACTCCAGATCCTGCCATGGGAAGCTCTCCTCTGGTGTAGCAGACTTGTCTGTGCTTATCCAGGCGTTTCTGGGCTTTTTTTTTTTTTGTCAGTACAGCTTACAAGGCATTCATTCCTACCAGAGACCACTGCAAATGTATTGATTAAACTTGCTGGTGCTGTAACTTTGTTGGTGAAACTTCTTGGTGCTAACCCTATTGTCTTTGTTTTATTTATTTCAGTACACATATGAAGGAAATGACATCAGTGACCTGCCAGTGGATCTATCTGTAGTTTGGAATGGGAACTTCGTCATCGACAACCCCTACAACATTAAAGGTAAAATAATCTAGTTTAAATCATTTTAACAACATTATACAACCTCTAGTGCGATGTTCCTGTGATGTATTACTCTGAGTGTGTCTGGTATAGATGTATATTAGATCTAGACATACAGTGTTCCCGTCTTTGGATGGTGTGTTTTAAACAGATGTTTGTTGCAGCCGCTTTGGTCACATGGGCATTTCTGTGTTGTACAAGGAAAGATTCTAGTTTACTGAAATATTTTCCTTTTGTTTAGGACTCCCACAGAGAGTGGGATGAGTCTAACATCTGTGTTATTTTATCTATGGATAGTGACCTGCAGGACATTTTCAATAGGGATTAACCTATATAAATTATTTGGGCCGATACCGGTGTGTGTGTGTGTGTGCGTGCGTGCGTATATGCTGACATTTACGCTTTTGAAATCAGCAAATTTTATATAGACTCAAAGTTATGCAAACTGACTCATTGTAATAATTTGCAATATGTTATCATATACACACAAAACACACATTTATGCTTCTGAGGTGATAATCATCATGATCACATGACTAAACCATTACACATAACTCCCTCACCCTCAGAAAAAAATACACAAATGAAAACAAGATGGAAAAAATATTGGTTGTTTATATCGGCCCACCGATATGTTGGCCGATACTGATATGGATGCCCATATACTGTGCATGCCTAATTTTAAATGCTTAATTTATTATGTTGTTGCAAATCAAACGGAACTGCAGACAAATATATTAATTTAAAGAGATACTGAGCACTTTTGGCTTGCTTTTAGAACCTCCACCATTTGTCTTTAAACATTTGGCAAGATGATTTTGTTGCACTACATTTTTGTGTATGTAACCATTTCCTACTCACATCTGTTGAGCTAGTTTGTATTTATGTTTTAATAAGTATAACATTCATATATAATCCTTGATATTCAAGTATGGAACCTGTATGTGTGCTAAAATATGCATGAAGTATAACCCTTCAAACAAAGAACCATGTGGGTAATGATTAAACCCATGTCCGCTCAATGCACCACTATGGGAGAAGACAATGAGATCACGTCTGTTGGATATAATTACTGGTAAAACAGTCTTTACTGTGCTGCCTCTGTAATTATTGTGGCTTGTACAGCACAGCGGGGGACTGAAACAGTATTCCCCTGCTGAGAGGTAAAATAACATCACCGTTCAATATGTCCTGTGGATGACATGAACATGGGACTCTGAACAATCGAGGGAGTGGTGTTGTCTGGCTCTGCCTGTCACCGTTTATTGTTGCAGACTCGATTTGTTTCACATACTTGAGAGAGGTTGGTTCATGATAAGAACAGTTAAAGACAGCGATTATCGACGGTTTTCGGTAACTTGTTCCCTGTTTGCTAAAAGCAACCTAATGTATTTCTCGAGCATCGTGCCTGATGTCATGCTTATGTGTTTGTAACCAACTTCACCCATCTCTGACAGCGCAGGCAGGCAGTATCAGGACCAGGCATCAGTGGCTGGATTGTAGCTTATCTCAGATGTGAGTCTCCAAAAGTGCATCTAGAGGTGATCCACAGGCCAGAGAGGCCCCTGCTGTCTGGTTTTTCAGTCTAACCTGATGGAATGAGAGCAGTGCTCACCCCTCATAAATGCTGTTAGGTTAATGTAATTACAGAGGAATCATTTAGCTGGCAGTAATTGGTACAGGGTTGCTTCAAAGCTACTCCATGACCAATGGGATTTAGGGTTGAAATAGCAGAGAGAGAATACAAGTCGTGCTTCTCTTGTTGTAAAGAACTAATTCTTCACTGCAGTGTAAGAGATTACATTTTAAGTAAATATAACCTTTATTCTGGTTCTCTGAGGTTCACTCTTATATATAATAACTTCAAATATTGATAGAAGTTAATGCATTCCCCTCACTGGCTCATTATCACCCTCCACTGTAGGGCAAGAGGAGGGCAATAATATGTCTGTCTGTGTTTTGGTTCTGTGTGTTGGCTCGTCTGTTGGCATTTAACTATTTGTTTGTCATCAGTTACATTTAAAGTGGTCACCACAGCTAATCAACATTAGTCAACTGTCAATTTTACAGCTATTGGGGTAACATTTGATGTGACAGTTGCTGGGCACTATTCCCAACACTTTCTGATGGCTAACTGGTCACACACACTCTTTGCCTCCCATCAGTTTTCAGGATAAGATTTAAAACTCTGACATGAAAGGAGACAGATGATGTACATTTCTTGGAGGAGTGTACTAAGGCTTCATGGACTGAGTTTTCCATGTTATGTTTTTTTCCAGCTCACCTGTATAAGTGCTATGCACTGAGAGAAAGCTGTGGGATGTGTTTGAAGGCGAACCCCAGATTCGAGTGTGGCTGGTGCGTAGGGGATAAGAAATGCTCTCTCAGACAAGAGTGTGCTCCTCCAGAGAGCACCTGGATGCACGCTACAACCGGGAACAGCCGCTGTGCACACCCTAAGATCACAAAGGTGAGCTCTGAGCATACTAATGCATACATAGTACATAATCATTCACCACAGACCTTAAGCATTACTGTACGAGTTCATATTTAAGAGGAAAACTCCTCTGACAGGAGGACTTGTGGACTCCCCTCCTGTGCTGTGTCATTCTTGGCCTCAGAGTGTTCAAGGAATATCAAACACCACAGGCAGTGAGTCAGCAGACAAGATAGACAGCTCAGAGGCCAACACCACGACTTAAACCCAACACAGATGGGCCAGCCAGGAGGAGGCAGCTGATGCACACCAAGACTGAACACACTGACAAGATTATAGATGAAGAAAACACACACATACACACACACACACACACACACACACACACACACACACACACACACACACACACACACACACACACACACACACACACACACACCTGAGTTTGTCTGAAGAACACAGTAATGCTGAAGAGAGATGCAAAATCACAAGCTGTGGATCTGTGCTAATTGTATCCCTGTGAGTGTGTGTGTGTGTGTGTGTGTGTGTGTGTGTGTGTGTTTGTGTGTGTGTGTGTGCGCGCGCGCGTGTGCATGCATGTGTGTGTGCATGTGTGCACACACACGCATGCACGCACGCACGCACACACACATGCACATGCGCGTGCGCGCGTGTGTGTGCATGCGTGCAATGGGCTGAGTGAGCGAACGCGTCCATACGCCACAGTGCAACCATCTGTTGCCATCAGCAGCCATGGCGGTGGTCCTCGTCTGGCTGTGGCCTGGGTCACTTTACCCACAGCTTACCACAGGGACACACACACACACACACACACACACACACACACACACACACACACACACACACACACACACACACACACACACACACACACACACACACACACACACACACACACACACACACACACACACACACACACACAGAGGCCAGTGTGAAATTAACTCACTGGTGTGTGAGACATGCCATAGCGTCTATCCCTTCCAGGTATTATCAGACATTCATCCTTCTTCTTTCTTCTCCATTGACCTTTTGTTTTCTGTTCTTTTTCTCGCTGCCAACTCGGCGTCCTAAACAAATTCCACTGAGATCACTGGAAACGTGTGTTTCCTCACGTTTCACCTGGCATCATTCCTCTCTGACAGTATGTGATTACTTGAATATGTAATGGAGATGTCAGCTAATTGAAGCAGTGGCACACAAAAATCTCAGAGCCAGTGCTTCTTCTCTCTTCATCCTCGCATCAGTTATCTCTCTGAAGAAAGTGACAGTTGGGTTGTGTGTGTGAGTGTGTGTGTAGGAAAGAGGTGAGGGGTTGGTTGCGCACAAGCATGTGCTCTTGCATGCATATGTAGGGGTAAATCCTGCCCTCTGGGCAAGATGTTGGTGGCAGTCGAAATCTTGGCAGAGAGAATCTTCAGACTCTGCAGGAGGGGAAGCACACTGCATGTTTGAGAAGGCAGAAAGGGAGAGACTGGAGAAGCGGGCGAGGGAAAGAACATTATCACCCAGCTCTGCCGCCGTCCTCACCTCTTTCCTCCACCTATGACATTTACAGTGTGACATTTAACGGCAAAAGAACATCTGCAGATGACAATCTCAGTTTTTTCATCTGCCATTTCATCCTTTCTCCCAAAGAGCATCACATCGACCACACACATCAAATATTTTTCTGCTTCTCACCAACTGCCTGGTTGAAATCCGCTTTTCCCTGTGACGTGTTTTCTACATATTTACTTTAGCTTGATTCAAGGTGCTTTGTTCCCTTCTTGCACCATGCTAGCTGTACTGCGGTCATTAGCCGGTAAAGAAGCACTTCTTGACATACTGACACTTAAACTGTCCACGAGTGCCGACACAGTTGGCCACAGATTTCACAGCAGAAAGTGTTGATGCTATTTCGAAGTGATTTCCAAGAGCGATATCACCTATTTGATGTGGTACCGTTTCCCTAACAGCACTGGTACCTGATTAGGATTCTCCAAACACAGCAGATAATGTTTAAACATTAAAAAGATGATTTTTAGACATTGCTGGAATTAATCCCATGAAGTGTTGTTTCTATTGGGCCGTGTTTCTCCGCTCCAACGCAGGTCTCGTAGCAGTTAGAATGTGAGTAACACTCTGTATCCCACTTATTCTCCTATGTTCAGATGTTTCATACAACTTGGTTGATTTGAATAGTGTTCTCAGGATCACCTTCAAAGTCACACACACACACACGCACGCACACACACACACACACACACACACACACACACACACACATCAAGCCTTTGTGTCCCAGTGTAACACAGCAGTGTTCTGGTTCTGGTCTTAGATGCTACCTGGCCCACCATCATCCATCATCTTCTGCTTGTATTTCCCTATGGGACAAAAGGAGCAATAAAGCCTGCCCTTAGAAACCAATTAAAACAGCTCAGGCCATGCCAGGACGGGGATGGTGATGGCGTGTGTTTAGTATTTCTGCATTTGGCACACACTCTTGTTCTGAGTGGAGATTTTTGCCGCATTTTGTAATCCTGCATAAGATCATGTTGGGAACTGTTGGTGCTATTTACAACAGTCAATGGTTTCTTTCCCCTGTGGTCTGTTAAATTTCAATATTTGCTTTTGCAGACCTGTCATCTCCATCCCAACATGTTTTCTTCCCTTTTCTTTCCTCCTTCATATTTTAAGCATTTTTTTTATTTCCTGCCACTAACAGATAAAAGGTGAATGATAAGGTGTGTCTGTGCACGCTTGTTTTTTCTGTAGTGTTGAAATACCCCAGGAACCATTTGATGAATTATGATAACCTCATCTACAGCAACACTTTGGGAAATCCAGTTCCAGATGGCCAGCAATGCTGATTTATCTTTGCTATAATGAAAATGGCTACAACTCAGTCCATTTTACAGATGTTTAGCTACATTTTCATGTTGTAGTACTCTTATTTTTAGCCACCTGAGACCACACATCACATTACTTTCAAGATCTGACTAAAATGAGCACAACTTTAGAAGATCTTAGTGTTGAACTTGCATGAAAGTGACACATGAAATCAGTTTCTACAAAGAACACAAAATTTTTATTTTATCAATCCTTTTCTTTACCTCTTTGCCTTCCTTCTTGTTCCCGCATCGTTTGTTTGTTGCAGCCTCATTCTGCCAACATGCAGAGAGGTGCTTCTCTGTTTAGGGGTCTTTATCGACCAGAGCACTTTGATTTGCTGATTGAGTTTTAGTGCTGAGCAAAACGCCCCGTTGTTACTGCAATAGCAGACATAAAAGAAACCAGTGATGCCGTAAACACTTGCAACTCTTATTCATGGAGAAAGAACTGCTATGCGATGTCAACTATTTACTTTTTTAATGATCCGTCCATGCTCTTTGAGGCAAGACAGAGGGATTTAATTGGTCCTGAATGGATTTTAACTTCTGTCACAAGACTTCATCGTCATTGATTACCTTTTCATTTTATCACTTAGAGAGCTTGTAAGAATTTCAGGGTTAGGACTTGTTTGATCCTGTCCCTCACTCCATTAACCGCTGCCACCGCTTTGGTTTGTGACTTTTGTTTTCGTGACGCTTTCACACAACAGTTAAACTTCCGTGGCCTTGCACAATGTGCATATCAGCCCTGTGTCCCCTGCCTCCTCCTTCCCTTCCACCCCCACTTCTAACTAGCAGATGCTATCTTAGCTCTGCTGCTTAGCCAGACACAATAGGCCTGACACAAAGCCCTCAACACAACAGGACAAGGCAGCTACGAAGAGAAGAAAGAAGGTTTCAATGGGTGTAGAGCATTATGATGGCAAGCGGAGAATAGAGCGAGTGTTTATAGGCTGGTGGCTTTAATCAAAAAGGCCTTTTAGCTTGTGTTGTTCTTCGCTGTTGATGTAACAACTTGTGTGTGTGTGTGTGTGTGTGTGTGTGTGCGTGCGTGCGTGCGTGTGTGTGTGCGTGCGTGCATGCGTGCGTGCGTGCGTGTGTTGGATAAGCCAGTGCCTATGGAGCAACAGAGGTTGATTACCATATCTGAAGATTCTGTCTGGTGCAATACGGGTTGCCAGTGGTTCTGTTGTCTCCAGCTTAAATGTACACATTCAGGCACAATGAGGAAGAGCGAGTTGGATAAAGACCAAAGGCTTTATTATTATATTAGCCTGTAGAAGATGGAAAACTGTGTTTAGTTTAAACCTGTGGCCTTTGTAATTCTGGGCTTTGATTCATGTTTTATGTTAGTAAAGATTTTCCATAGTTCGGTTTCATCGTGGGGGTTCGGGACAGGTCGGTGTACACCAGTATGGGTCTGCAATTTCAGGAGAGTGTTTCAATTGTAGTTTGGACTCCCACTTAGCAGGTGGGATTAAATGTAAATAATACCGTCGCACCATACCAGCGCTTTTAATCTCTTCACCTTGGCATGACACTGTTCCGGCATCCTTTTGAAACCTTTGGCTGCCATCCACTGAGAAACTTGTTTTAAACCTTTTTTATTTCGTACCGATCCGTTTAGCTCGTCCTGAATGTGGCTGTCGTCGCCGATAGTGAGGATTGTTTGGAGCTCTGAAGCTGACCAAACCTTGCTGCTACACTTCTCACATTTTCTGTGTACAACCGATGATAATACAAACAACAGAACTCCAGGGTTTGTTTTGCTGGTCACAAGTAATTACATATCTCTGTCCGTCAATCAGTGGACCGTGTTGTTTTGATGCCGCTGCTCCGCCCTAGCTGTACCGCTCCATTTTCCTATGGGTCTACAACAGAAGGGTCTATGAATGCCGTGTTACGGGTCGGTTGTATGAACTGTTTTGACAATTGGGACAGACAAAACAGCCATTGAACCCACCCGACTCGCCCTGGACCCCGCAGTGGAACTGAGCTATTATAACCCTAACCCTACCCTAACCAACATCAGTTCATTTTACTGCCACTGCTGATCTCTGCACTTTCTAACTACACAGCGAGGTTTTAGTTAAGTTTTAGACTATAAACAGTTTGGGCATCACTGGCTTTTGAAGGAACTGGTCACTAATTGCCATGAGGAACTCAAAATCTAGGACGCATTACAATTTGGATGATAGAGTATGGTTCAGATATGATCTCTGGAACCAAAAGACAAAACTTCATTCATTAAACAAGCTAAACACTACTTTGTTGTTTATTACAGTAAAAAGATTCTGCTGTATGTGGAGATGTATTGAAACGTTTTCATTGTCACAAAAGGAACAAAAATGATTTCTAAACAAATAACTCATTCATCCTGTTTATCATAACCACAAGATTCCTGTTTTGTCAGAAATTTCTTAGTAACCTAAAAAAAAAAGTTGCCATGCATGGTTTCCACTTAAATAAAGCTCTGATTGTTTCAAATTTAAAGTACTCACACAAAGAAGTGCTATTCTGTCTCTTACCCATTTGATGGCATGAATACAGAAATACATTTCACAAATATTTAAGCTCCAAATTAGAAATTAATTATTCAGTAAATGAATAATTGATGACTATTTAAACCAGAGCTAAGGACTTTTAGAAACGAATAAACATTGAAACAGCCTCCGCTAAGTCAGATAAATCTGCTGTCTGTAATAAGATTTTGTCAGTGTTTTGTGTTCAGGAGCAACAGTTTTCATGACATAATAAGAGAAAATAACAGTCTAGATATGAGAAAGTTTCCAAGTTTAAGTAACTAAAACAAAAGCAGTTGATGAGCTTGTTCGGGTTTTTTGTGCAGTCCCTCTCAGGACCTGAAAGCGGAGACAAAAAACCCACGCTGCAGGTTATAAATTAAAACCGACCCTAACCTGACAGGTCAAATATCTAAATTATGCTGTGGAACATTTAGGTTTAATATGGCAGGTGTCTGTAGCTTTGGAACAACAATAGTTGATCAGTTCTGCTGCTTTTGTCTGTGTGTTTTCCACATCTGAGTATTTGTGCTGGGATTTAAACTATACATTCTGACAGCATAAAAGGTTAACATAATCCCTCGTGACTAATTTTAGCCACCCTCTGTGCCCCCCCCCCCCCCCCCCCCCCAACCAACCAACCCCTGTCGATGACATCCAAGCCTCAGCGTCTCCCACATCCCCCTGACCCCCCTTCACCCTTCTTTCTCTGTGCCTCACCAAATGACCTCACTGCCCCATCATGTTCTAATCCAATTAGCTGCAGGCCTAATTATGTTGGTAGTGACTGATTACCATTGTCTGCATTTAGGGTTGGATGAATAGGAGGTGATTAGCGACGGGGCTAGCATTGTGTAGCCATTAGCGCGTCTGCACACCTTTCACAGACCTGGAGGAGAGAGGAAGGGAAGCAGAGGTCTCTGTACACCGTGACCGTCCTGATTATTCGTCACAAGGTTAAATGGGAAGTGGAAGGGTGGGTCCAGGTTAAGTGTGTGACTTGGCAGTTTGTGATTGTTTGACTGAGTTGAGGTGGAGTTGATGAGTCTAAGGTTATTTTTCATCTTTCCTAATGAAGACCTGCTTCATGCTGAAAAAACACAACTGTGATGTTTTAAGTAAAACACTCATTCAAGATGACACTGAAGATGATTTTTGTTTCTACACATTACATATTCTCATATGCATGTATTTATCTGTTGTCCCACTCAGCTGTCCCCAGAGACAGGACCCAGGCAGGGAGGGACCATGCTGACCATCATCGGTGAGAACCTGGGCCTGCAGTTCAAAGACATCCAGAATGGAGTCCGCATCGGGAAGGTGATCTGCAGCCCTCAGGAGGACCAGTACATCAGTGCTGAGCAGTACGTCCACACCTATCCATCTTTCACTCCTCCCATCCATCCTTTTAATAAGCCTTATTGTAGCTGACACCCTCCACTTGCCTGCTTGTCTCTGTCCAGTATTGATGTGACACTGAGCATTAAGTACATCTCTCTCTCTCTCTCTCTCTCTCTCTCTCTCTCTCTCTCTCTCTCTCTCTCTCTCTCTCTCTCTCTCTCTCTCTCTCCCCTCCCTCCCCCCTCCAACCCTCCCCAGTTTGATAAAACCTGCAAAGTTTAACCCTTTGATGCATGAATTATGAAATCTTCAACCATGATTTTTTAAACAATTTTTTTCATTCATCTTTAGGTGTGAATGAAACAAATTTCAACAAATATTTTTTGTAACATTTTGTTAATTTACAAATAATTTATTACATGTCCAGCTCAGTGGACAGTGTGCATTCTGAACATGAAATATGTTGGCTTGCCTTACTGAAGTCCAAATGGAGGGGCTCACATGCAATAAAGTCTTCAACAGCTGTGCAAAATAGCAAAAATAAATAAATAACAATTTTGAGTACCTGTCCACTGTAGTGACCATTATGCATCAAAGGGTTAAAAACTGTTTTTCCAGCTCAAACAGAACCAGCTCCTCACCAGCAGGCCCACATTGTTTAGGTGCTGCAGACCTGTGAATTTGCACTTCATATGAATCTGACAGCATCATACATGGAATATTTCATTCCACAAATAATCAGAAATGCATGCTCATGTAGCCTCCCTTATAAGAATAATCTATCCCTGTCTATTTTACAAGATACATCATTTAGTCATATTAGAAGTTCATTCTGTGAAAATTATTTCAAGGATGAAAGGTTGTTTTGTGAACGCACCTTTCTTATTAATTTATGTGTACTACTTTCGGGGAAATTCTGAATCACAGCAGGTGTTGTGGATGTAATTTAGCTCTTATTTAATAAGTGCAGTGATGTATTCTGAGAAGCCTTAGAGCAGCACAACGACCCATCTACAATCACTCTCTTGTCTGTTCAGGCTGTTTGGATGAAACTGAGGCCTTTGTTTGAACTGCTATCCGGTCTTCTCATTGGCTCAAAAACAAATTCATACGAGTCATATATCACATTTCACTCTGAATGGGAAATGTTAATCACACGCGGGGAAATGCTGCACTGGCACAGCTGTTCAGAAACATCTGGGCATTTAGCGACTCACTTTCTACTTTATGTTGACTTCATTTTCTGAATTAACAAGAGATAGTGTAGTCAAGGTCACGGAGAGTTGGGACACTGACAGTCGGACAGGTCTGATTCTTTGTTTCTTGGTGTGTAGCTGTCAGATAAACACAAATGTTCCACTTGCTGAGGGTTGCTGCACATCCCTGGCTGACTTATTTCACAGCCCCCACCACAACCACTACTAGGAAGGAAACGAGAGCGATGTGACTGATGGTTTGAGCTCACCAGGGATGTCAGGTGTCTCCTAAATGGGTTTACAAACACTGGAGTGCTGCGTGCATTGTGATTTAAACTTGTTCTAAATGCTCACATCTATGTTGGTTTTAAAGTAGAATCAGGTCAATCTGTGCTGTAACTTTGTCAGTTCACACATTTCTACGTATACTGTTAAAATAGAGGCTTTTAACTTTGATGTCTGCAATACAGCAAATCAGTTGCCATAGCACCTACATTAAGAGGAGGAGGGCATGGTTGGAAGTTAGGCTGTCATGCTAATTATAAGTGATGTTAGCCATACGGAGCCATTAGTGGCCTGATTGCACTCGATATCCCAGTGACCCTATCAGAGCAGCAGTGCAGGAGATGAGATAAGGCTTGAGAAATGACAGCACAGGTCAAAGGTCAGCAGCTAGAGACAGCGAGGAGAGCTGCCACTTTAGCAGAATGTAGACACAATGTTCTCGATGTCACTCTTTGTGTTTCTTCTTCCAGCACTTGTTTTTCACACATCTGATCCAAATCTGAGTGGAACTGCAGTGCAAAGAAATAATGTGATTTAATGTCATTCACCTCAAACATTAAATATTTACAAGCTGAGTTTGACTTCACCCCGAGAAAAGCAAATCAGGGAAAAACCCAGCACTTCTACTCTTTATTATTAAAACTGTGCCACAATTTAACATATGTTTAATTCTTTAGTATTTCACACCTCACCTCAGTTATTTGAATGAATGAAGTATAATTCATAATGATGGCAGCTTCCCTGATGTGTTTTCAGTCTTTCTAGCTGTGCGCTCGGTAACAGCTCTGCGCAGCCACCTGTCATCTGTGCCGTAATGAAGCAAGTGAAGCTGCGTTTCTAACTGAGAGCTGTCCAGCATTTTAATCATTGCCCCTGTCATAGTCAGAGACTGGGGAATGAATGAATGAGAAAGTGAAAAATAAAAACAATCAACACAAACCGCATCGGAATGTAAAATGCATCGCCGCAGCAGCACTGCGGTTGCCATGGCCACCTGCAGGGAGGAGGGAAGCAGGAGAGTTAACAACTTCTCTAAGGGAGAGGAAGCTGAAGAGATGTGTAAGATATGAGCACGTTCAATTAATCAGCCTCTCTCTCACTCCAGCGCTCATTCTCACTTCCTTTCTCCCGTTTTCTGTCTCTATCTCTCAGCCTTTCTCCCCGTCTCATTCATTCGCTCTGGCTAATTAACAGTCAAGTGTGTCTCCAGTGGGTGAAACATCGCGCGCGCGTGTGTGTGTGTGCGCGTGCGTGCGTGCGTATATGCATGCTCCCTACAGGCTTTTACCACCACTGCTCTCGTTGCTCAATAATTTCTCCGGTGGATTTTCATCTGGCCGGCCAGCGCCCTCAGGCCAAGTGCTCTGCTCGTGGTTCCGCTGTAATGCAGGAGCATTGTGCCCTCAATCAGAGAACTTCTAGTTTAGATCACTGCTGCTTCTCCCTGATAACTTGTCCTGTTTTAGTTGTTTTCATTAAAGCCTTGCTAAGGAAAACAGAAAAAAATTCTTCACACTTACTGGCATGGGTTTTTGCATCAGGAACAATGCAGAAAACATCTGTCACGTTGGAAACCACCTTAATAAAGTTATTAAAGCCAGGATTCTAACCACACAAAAACTGCTGTCACTTTAAAGGTGTGGTTCACTGAAAATACATTTTTTTTAATGAACTATCTGAATGTAATCGGTCTCTCCTGGGTTTTTCATGCAGGCTGAACATGAAATAGTCTCTTACACCTATCTCCTGCATTTGCTTCTGATAGAAAATGCAGTGAAAATCTAGGATTTGAAAAGCCTGACAGCTCACTACGGGGAAAGCCGTTTTTGTTTTAGCATCCAGAGTAAGCAGAGATGGTCTCGGCTAGCTAACTAAGCATTAGCAAGTCAACCACATGGCAGAAGCTCCACCAAGTTTGTGTTATTTGAGGAGATAAAACATCCATGTTGCAGAGCAAACCAAGTGGTGCTCGCTGCAGAACTACAAAGGCGGAGCTGCACCAGAAGGTGGAGCTGCACCAGAGTCAGCCCCGCCCATTCCATCAGAGTCAGTCCAATTCCTTCCAGTTGTCAGACTTAATAGCATTCTGCAACCAAAGAGGGTGTTATAGCTAATTTCATCTAAAATGCAAGATTGAGGACTGAGTTGAGAAGTTAATTGAACCGTTTTTGTAAAGGTTCCATATAATTAAAAATCTAACTTTTGGAACTTTTAATCATGTTATATTGCCATTTCCTCATAAGAAACACGCCAAAGCCATTTTTGGCCTCATTCACACATTTTCCTCCCATCTCAGCTTCAATTTGGTCTCCTCCCCCGAAGCGGGTCTGGTCTTGGTTCTCAAATCTGGATATTCTATGAATTTTCTGACAAATTATTTCTGAAATGACTTACTGAGACACCACCGAAAAACCATACATCCCATCTACAAAGACACACTGGATGGGACAATTACAATGGGACAATTATATATGACGCCATTAGATTGTTGTCAGATGTAGTGGTGAAGTGGTTATGGAGTCAGCTTGGCATGTAGTTTTGCGCAGGTTCGCCTCCCGGTAGCAGTGCAAACTTTTTTCTTCTTTTCTAGCTACACTTGCCACTACTATGTTTTTAACCATTTATTGGTACACCGTTTAACATATAATGACTAATGTGTTTTTTTTTTTTTTTTTTGTTCATTTATTTAGCCAGTGTGAGTCCATTTGTGAGCAGAGTTTCAACTAAAATGCTGTTTAGGACCCACCAAATTCAAAGAACTTTTAGAGACATAAACATTTTGCAGAAAATAAACATTACAACTAAAATATAAACAAATTAAATGTTTCATCTGGCTAAATAGATTGTTGTCGACCCCACCGAGAGTCGAACCAACATCAGCTGAGGGGAAAGCAAAACTTAAGTTTGATGATCTTGCCATTAGACTACCAGAGCCCACTAAACAATTGTCCTTAAATGCTTTTGTACCTTGGTTCTGTTGGAGCGGCTATGGCCGGATATTTGTTAAATGAAACCTTTTCATTTCGGGATATATTCAGGCTTTGTCATGTAGCAAGTTATATTTATCTTGCTTAATTGGAGCATAGAACATAGCATTAACATTTGTAAAGTAGTAACAGCTGTAAATCATGTGGGTCAGGTTAGTTTGCGATAAAAAAACAAACAAACAAAAAACAGAAAAAGTCAGTGGGCTAGGCTGTTTGCATGAGTGGGCGGGGCTGACTCAGGTGCAG